AGGAAGGGAGGGAGGGAGGGTGGGGAGAGAAGAAGGCTGTGCTTGGAAAAATGGTTTTGCTTTTAGTGAGTCAGAAGAGAGGCAGGGCTGTAGGAAACAGAGAAGTAAATAAATTGGAAGTGAAAAGGAGCTTTTTTCCCCTCCTCTGTTAGGATTAAAAAGTTTTGATGCCATTATCAGTCTGTTTGTACCACTGGCTTTCCTCTCAGATCTTCTCCTCCCGGATAAATCTGTCTGAACTAACTGATGACTCCGGAGCTGCTCCTGAACAGCAAAGCAGCAAAGATGGGGTTTGTATCACAGATGATTTGCAGACACTGACACTTGCATCCTCCCATAAAGCTGGAGACTAAACATCCTGAGACTTTTTATTCTAAATATTTGATTTTCCTTTACTGATACTGCACATTTTGTTTCTGCTCTTTGTCTTTCCTACAGCTGGACAGTGGACCCACAATTCTTCAGGTGCCCTGTAAGCTGTAGGAGATCTTGCAGAATCAAGAGGACCATCCCAAATGGAATAAAAGAGGGGTAAGCCTGTTGCTGAATAGTTTATGAGTCATTGCTGTACCTTCTGCATTGTGCACATGAGAGGCCTGAGGGAGGAGCATGTGATCAGGAGGGATATTACCTTGGGTTTGTTTTCCTGAGGCACCACTCATCCAATCTAACCCTATCCCAATGGCTGGGCAGCCTCTGGCCCTTTGCTCTGAGACAATTTATGGCTGCACAGCTCAGTCTGTAACTATAATGGTGAAAGGATTTGAGCAAAGCAAAGAGTTCTGGCACCAACTGCTTATAAATAATAGCTGAGCAATGAAATATTAATGCAGTTGATACTAGGCTGCAACAGAGAAATCCATGCTCCAGAGTTGTCTATGGTAGACTGGTAATCTGCACCAAAAAAAAATCCTAAGAGTCAGAGCTATTAACATCCTGACTTTTTTTAAGGCTCAGTCTCCTTTGAATTATTGAGACTCTTATAGTTCTGTAATATGCAAAGAATATACAAGATTTTTGTACATCAGGATGTTCATGGGGGAGCATTGGAGGCAGCACTGACAGGAGCTGCTTTAGACTGGACTTGCAGTGAAAGTGAAACCTGCTTTTCATTTTAAAGTATTTTCAGAAAATAAATACAGTGGCTGCTGCAATGCAAATCCCTGCTGTGACCCACTGGGAAGAGGGATGGATGTTCCAGCACAGAGATCTCTCAGCCATGTGAAGCCAGCTGGTCTTGACGGTACCTGGTGCCCATGCCTATCCCAGTGCTGTCAAACTGCTTTGGAAATTCCTATTTATTTTTTAATGCTGGGAGCTGGGTAAGCTCCACTCAACTGCAGGCACGTCACCCACCCAGGCTGTCCCTCAAACCTGTGGATCTTGCTGGCTGGAGTCAATGCTCCACTGCCATTAAACTCAGCATGAATGAGTTTCTGAATGATTAATTTGAAACAAAACCATAGCTCAGGGCTACAGCTGCCATTCTGTTTGGGCAGTGGAGAAAGGCTGTAACCTGGGGGCAGTGGGTTTGTATGCCCTGGGCTCCCTGCCCTGTGCTTCTCCTCAGCCCCCTGAACTCATATCCTTTTCCACACTCTCTTTTGAGGAGCACAGACCCAAACCCGAGGCAGTTCAGGTCTGGCCTCTGAATCTGTCCCATTAATGTGTGGGTTTGAAATCTACCCCTCCTTCTCTCAATGTACAGACTCGCTGCTCCCGTCCGTATAAGGCCCACGCGAGCACAAAGCCAGGCTGGGCTATTTATATTTCCTTGCCCAGCCCTACCCACCCAACACTGCATGGCTGGGATCCAGATCCCACCCTGCTCTCCCAACAGCACAGCCCTTCCCACAGAAACTCACATCTCACACAGCTCAGAGCAGCTACCAAAGCCCCCTGAAGAGCTGATGAGCCCCACTGGAGCCTCCAAACAGGACAGTGTGGTGAGCACACACTCACACCCCTTGGACAAAGGCTGCTCTTCCCAAAGGAAACACTGCTCATCCCAAGCCAGAGCTCCCAGAGCTCGGCACCCACACAAGCCTCAAAATAAAGGTCCTGCACACTTTAGAAATTCAATACTCTGTGTGTGTGCCGAGTGCTGCAAGGGTTTGTCCGGTTGTAACAAAATCAGCCTTTGGCATTTGCAGGAATAAGTTTAATTGTAAAAAAACAGTTGGAGGAAAATGCCAAGCTTACATAAACTGCCACGTGCCACTCTCCAGCTGAACATGGCACAAAGTCTGGTTTCAGAGCAGTAGCTGCTAGCACAGGACATCCATTATTAAACCATGAACTGCAGTAACCAGCCCCAGGTTCAGGATCCTAAAACCAGGAGATTTGGGATGAAGTCACTTTAGTTTGTTTTTATTAGCAACCACTCTCACAGAATTTTTTGGTGTCCTGATATCTCTGAAATACAGGAGCCCAGGACAGAGGCACAAAGGAAGCTCTGAGCTCTGTTCCCAGGGGCTGCTGAGCAGTGCAGGCACTCACTGCCATCAGACTTTTTAGGAAGGTAAGTTCTGCACTGAATGTCTGAGTGGCCTGTCAAAGCTGTCACCTCTGCTTTGGCTCAGCAAGTTTTCAAAAGAGAAGGATGGAGTAATTTGGAGCAGTAGGGTTGTTTTCAACTTTTATATCTAATTCCTTACAGTAAGTCTATACAAAAAAATTCTTAACTCAGAGAAATCAGACCAGGTCCTGGCAAAATCAGCTCAAAGAGGGTAAGCAAGTGAGAAAACGCAAGCGTGGATGGGACTGGGAGTAATGCCTGTAAATGTTCTGCTTAGTACCTCCCCTCAGCCAGAACGTGGGAGTGATATCCAGCTCTGCACTTTCTTCCCCAAATTTTGAAACTACCCCAGCAGACGTGCTCAGGATCATGCCACAGGTCAGGCTTTCCCTGAAAAAAATTTGGTTTTCATCTCCTCTTAATCTACAGCAAGCAAAATTATTAAAATTTATTAAAATCAAAATTAAAATTATTAAAATTATTAAAATTAACATTATTAAAATTAATTAAATTATTAATTAAAATTAATTTATTAAATTATTTATTAAAATTATTATAAACAATTATCACAGGCAGTCTGACTTCTCCCCAAGGTGCAAAAGGTCTTGTTTGCACTCCTGAAATAATCCCTCCACGATGGCTGAAGCCTCAGGATGCTGAGAGAATAATCAAACATCAAGAACCAGCAAAGAGCTAATTTGTCTTTAACTCCTTTATTTCTTCCAGCTGCAGAACTGTGCACTATTGAACCCTACAGAACATGACTCTTGCTCTGCTCAGATCTCTCACCCAAAAACAGTCACTGCTGGGATTATGGAACATTTTACATCTCTTAGGATAAGTTTATCTCTTGTTCTCCAAAATAAAAGACTAATAAATCTTTGGACTTTTTTCCACAGCAACTGAAAACACACAGGATTCACTCCCAGCTTGGGAAAGTAGCTTTTTCTGAGTCAGAGATGAGAGATAATGTGCTCAGCACTGCAGAATTAGTTACATGATCAGTAATGTACCCAACACACACTTTGGTAGGTGGGGGATTGGAGAAGTGAGACACTGAATTAGAGTTATTTTGTAATTATTTGGTTTTAAGTGTAGACACCTTTAGGAAAGCACAGTGAATTCCTCAGTTAACCCCCAGGGAGGACCCCAGCACTGGATGTTTCCCACTGGGGCTGGGTCTGCTCCGGCTCCCATGGAAGTACCAGCATGTCCATGAGGGCACAAACAGCTCCATTTCACATGCTGCAAACCTGGAGAATTCCTTATCTGTGCTCTGTAGCATTCAAATCACACTAAAATCCATGCTGGGAAATGATCCCAAATCCCAAATAATTTCCTCCCCTAATACCTCCATGATTCCTCAAGTCCCTGGCACAGCCCCTGGCCAAACGACTCTTTCCAAGGCTGCTCCATCCTCACCACAGCAGCAAGGACAGGCCCCAAACCTTTAGAAGCAGGATTGCTTTTTCATATTAAAAAAGAAACTCTACTCAATATCAATAAGCCACAGCAAATCAACACAAATTGCTCATGAAACACTAACCTGCAGATGTTTGGGATGCTTCCCAAGGACCTTGAACCTTGCTAACTTCCTACCTATTTCCGTAACTGACATGGAATCTTATGTTTAAACAATTCCCTTCACTCCTCTCATTTTGTGGTGGTTGTTGCTTATATTTTATTTTTTTCCATGGATAAATAGATACAAAAAGCTTGTAATAAATCCATACACATATATCTGTCTACAACTGGTTGTGTTTCCTGTATGATCTGAACCGGCTCAAATATCTCAGCCTTTCAGCCGTGATAAAACAACAAATGCTCAGGCTCTGAACCAAGGAGTCCCGCAGTGTCCGACCCCCGAGCTTGTCATGAGCCACTTGCCCTCAAACCTCACACTATGGACCATTCTCCCTTTTATTCTGCTTTTCTTTTCTCTCTTCACATGATCAGCACTCGAAGCTTCTCCATTTGAGTGCTGGCTATTATTAACCCAGAGGCTTTCAACTGCAGCATTAACTGTTTCACTCTCTTTTCTGGCCCAATAGAAGAGTTTGCTCTGCTGCAGAAAACTAACTCCAGGCAGGAAACCTGACAGAATCACTTTCCTCTCTCTCTCTCCTTGTTTAAGTGAAAACTCCAACGCTTAGTGCAGGGGATGATTGTTAAGCAAACTAAAGCTATTATTGAGACCAAACAACAAGGAGGTTCAAGGCTTGAAGGATGCAGAACAAAGAAGGTGGGAATTGTACAAACCCTCGGCAAAGACCACCCCAAGCACTGCCAAGCTCAGGGGGCTGGATTTTCTCTGACAGTTCTATTTGCCCTGGCTGGACAGAGTAACCCTGAGGCTGGGGTTACTATCACTTGTTACCAGATGCATGTCACAAATCTGAAATATTATCGGTCTCCACGTAGCCATACACATGGTGTCTCTTTGTAGAAGAGACATTGGCAGCTGGATTCACAACACCCCCTGCCAGATCGCAGAGCACTATTGCTTTTCGTTGAGCTAAGCAGTAAAATCGGGTTATTTTGATACTTCTGGCCCATTGCAGTGAGTTCTTAGGGCCTTGTTCCCTATCTGCCTTAAAATTCCTGTTAAATGGGACAATTCTGTCAAACTTTGTCTTAGGACACACAGAAAATGTTAAACCACAAATGAGAGTGACAGGGGACCCGCATCAATTTGGATTGCCAGACAATCTGGGGAGTTTGGGAGAGGGTTGGACCGAACATGCAGCGTGACAGGACCCTCAGCAGAGAAAACACCCACTAACAGGATGTAAAGACATAGTGAAACAGCTCCTTACCTGATAGATCATGACTTTGAAGTTTCTGCGTTTCAGGAGCTCGGCTTCATTGGCCTCCAGCTTCTTGATCTGCCCAGCTTGTTTCTCCAGGTTCTGCCGCACTGTTTTCACGTTGACGCTCACCTTGCGCACCTTCTCCAGCATTTTGTTGACAGTGTTGCTGGTGGTGGTGTGTGCCTTGGTCAGCTTGGTCAGCTCTCCCTGGATGCTGGTCACTGCGCTATCCATCTCTTGCTGTCTCTCCTCCAGCTGTGTTTGGGTCAGCTGGATCTGATCCACTGCTCCGATGATCTTGTCCAGAAGGGTCAGCACCATCACACCGTTGATCTGGTCGGATTTGATGGGCTCCTCGGGCGCTTGCTCCTCCGAGGTCTCAGAAACAGTGGGTGGCTCGATGATTTGCAAGGTGGTGTCCTCCATGGTGGCTCGGGAGTCCTGGCTCACAGAGCCCGGAGAAGCTGTCACTGCCGGGAGAGAGCAGGGAAAACTGAGCCCGAGCCTCAGCTAAACTCCGCACTGGGAGACACGCCAGGAATGGGGAGCGCAGTGAGTGAGTGTCTGTGCTGAAATTCAAATGGCACAGCTCCGCACAGCCGTCCAGTGGAACTGCCCTGCAAAATTTTCCAGCCTTGCAGGTCATTGGCTGACTCCACCTCAGCTATAGAAAAGGAGCTGCTGCCAAATGCCTGCTGACCCACCCTTTTGAAATGATTAAAATAGTTGGAGGGGAGGCGATGGCTCTGCATGCAAACACAAGCACGGCTCGGCCAGGAATGCAAAGCTCTGGAACTGCAGCTGCCCCTTCTTTACCCTCAGTCTAAAGGCACTGAAGTAGCAGGAGGAAAAAACAAAATCCTTTAGTTAGTAAATGGCTCGGGAAGCTGCTGGGAAGAGAGTAGGAAGCAAGCAGCCCCATCTGGGCACAGCTGTGTGCACTGAAGGCTGGTTTAAACAACAGCACATGCTGAAGTTCAGCTGGAAGTTCAGACCTTTTGCCAATACTTAGATCTGTTTTTTTTTTTTTCCAGGACTATGAGAACCTGATTTTCAGTATTTTAAAGAAATGCTACAATTTGAATTCAACAGTTACAGCATGAAAATGTATCTTAGCAATGCCCCCTGCCATGTATGTGAATGTACAAGAGGCACACACAGTACACACAGGGTGCAATACTTCTCCACACAGATTTAACACAGAGATGGATAATTCGCTCCTGAGGTGAGGCAGCTGGGCACCCCCCCAAAAGAGCTCTTCCAGCTCTGCAATCCTTGAGCCTTCTACAGATCCAGTCACCAGACTTTAAATGTGGGACACGCTGCAGCATACACTGCTTGTAAACAAAGCCCAAATTCAGTGGGTTACTTGTGCATTTAGTGGTAAAACCCCCAAATGATTCAAAACATGGGAGGCGCCACCACAGACTTCTCAACAACCCAGCTGGAACATGCCAGGAATGTGGAGAAGGAAAATTCAGATCTTGGGAGTGACCCTGGGCCAGACCCTTCACTGTTTGAGGGGTTGGCTCAGCCAGAGGGAACCAAGTGCCCATGGACAGGGACCTTTGACATTCTAGAGCTCATTCTAGAGCTTTGACAAGGGTTACTCAACCTCAGCACCTCCTGCCAGACCGAGTCTGCTCTCAGCCTTTGCCACTGGCTGGCAAATACCAGGGAGAGCCCCGGGCTCCTCCCAGCCCAGCTGGCTCAGGGCAGACTGGGGGAGATCATCCATCCCAGCTACACACTGGGGAACCCGGACATCCCACAGATGCAGAGGGATTGTTCACTCACAATGCTCACAGCAGTCAGCACTTTCCCTGCCCCGTGACTGCTTACTGTCCCCACTGACCTGGGCCTGGTGGCTCTGGGATCACAGAATTGTACCCTGTGTCCCCCACAACAGCCATTATCTCACGTAGTGAAAACAGGCTGCTTTCTGTGCACTGTTCTTTCCTGGAGGGACCTTTTTCCAGAGCATTTATTTCCAGTGTTTGCTGCTGCTGTTCCATAAAAGACATAAAAGAGTTCCATTAAAAAAAACCAAAACCCTCATTGTAGGCAGCCAGTCCAAGGCCCCAGAGCTGTTTGTCCCTGGGGTCACCTGCCCCGGGTGGGCTTCCACAGATAAATGTGTAGGGATTCAGGTACAGGACGGGATACACGCAGAGCACAGCTCCTTGAATTTCTCTTCAGAAATTCTGAATTCAGCCTTTCAAGTGTTATGTGGAGACTCATCTGTATTTTAATACGTAATACAAATTCCACCGAATTAATAGATTAATTAATTAATTAACTGAGCATTTGATCAAACCCTGAAGCTTTCAGAGATCAGTTGTGGAGCAAAGCTGATAAAGTCTTTGACATCCATTCCACGTGTGACTCCAATGCATCTCTGTGCCTTTGGATGTTCATTTGGGAAGAATAATAAAAAAAATAAATCTGCCTGAGCAGGTCAGTCTGGATAGAAGCAGATAAACAAACAGGACAGCGATGCACATCTGCTCCTGGAGCTCACTGAGCTGGACTGCCCCGCTCGGTGCCTCTGTGCCCACACCAATTGTCCTGGAATGTCCACTGAAATTCCTGGAATCGTTTTCTATGTCTGGATTAACTTCAGTTCAGCGCCTTTTCTGCTGCGGGGACACACCAGGAGCACCAGGAATGGCTGGGAATTTGCAGCCCCCCCCTCTGGAGCCTCAGTCTGGAGCCGGTCTCTGGCGGTGGGAACAGCGGCTGTCTGGGGGCTGATCGTGGCTCACACTGTGCATGTCTCTGCCCCGGGCCGTACACGGGGCCGCACCGACACCGGCCCGGGCTGCCGGGGACAGGCCTCGCCCCCGAGCCCGCGACACGCTCGCAGTGACGTCACGTCTCCGTCACCACACATATCGTGACGTCACCGACCGCGGTGCGCGCGGGGTTAGCATCACTTCCGGGGCGGGGCCACGCGCGGTCGCTAGGAGACGTGCGCGTGACACCGCCCCGCGCGGACGGTGACGCCGCTGACGGGAGCCGGCTCGGGTCAGGCGGGAGCGGCGGCAGCGGCAGGTAATGGCGGGGAGCGAACGGAACGGAACGGGGCTGGATGTGATGGGGACGG